ACATAAATAAAATATATTATAGTAAACATCATTATCAAAGCATAACTTTTATTTATATACAACAATTACATAACCATATTATCTATATTACAAACAACAAAAATTAAAATATTTACATTTCTATGGATTCACTACCGATTACATGACTTGTTTCTCCTTCTGGGAGTGCAAAGTAATCAGCTACATCCAAATGCATGAAGTCTAAATTATCTTCAAAAATAAAATTTGCTTCAGCATTTTTCTCTATCTTCTTCAGGGAGGCTTGATAAAGCTCAACCAGGTGCTTTGGCGTACAACATGTACGTGACCAGTGCCCTTTTCCTTCACATCTATAACATGCATTTTCTGCATTTGGTGCTTGCACCGTTTCATGCTTTTGTTCCTTCCTTTTTTACTGCTAGCGGTAAGGAGGCTTCTTTGGTGCATTATTATTACCATGATTGAGGTTTCTTCCCCGACCACGGCCATGACCACGACTGGGGCCACGACCTCTTCCACGCTTAGCTTGGTCGAAGTTCGTCTCATTCACTTCTGGGAATGGACAAGAACCAGTAGGTCGGCTTTCATGGTTTTTCATTAATAGCCCATTATGTTGCTCGGCTATAAGAATATGTGAGATAAGTTCAGAATACGTTTTAAATCCTATATCTCGATATTACTGCTGCAGGAGCATATTCGAGGCACGAAAAGTGGTGAAAGTTTTTTCCAACATATCATGATCAGTAATATTATCACCACATAATTTCAATTGGGAAATAATTCTGAACATAGCAGATCACTAATAGATTTAAAATCTTGTAGCCTTAGATGAGTCTAATCATAATGTGCCTGTGGAAGAACGACCATCTTCAGGTGGTCATATCTATCTTTCAAATTATTTCACAGTATGACTGGATCTTTAATAGTGAGATATTCCATTTTCACGCCCACATCAAGGTGATGGCGTAGGAATTTCATTGCTTTGGCACGGTCTTGGTTTGATGCCTGATTTTTATCCTTGATGGTGTCTGCCAGACCGATCGCATAAAGATGAATTTCAGCATCAAGCACCCAAGACATGTAGCTTCTGCCCGATATATCCAGGGCTACAAATTCAAGTTTTGAAAGATTTGACATTATTTAGGAAAAGAAAGTTTGTACCTCTAATACTTTCAAATTATTTGCTCGAGATGGCAGAGTCTCGTGCTGATAACGTGTTATAAAATAAAGACTGTAAAGTAAAGACAAGTATAGAGAGAAACTGATATATTATTTGAATTCAAACTAATGTACATAATGAACTGTAATCTCTTCTATTTATAGAAGAAAGGAAGCTGCTGTGAAAGCTATTACTGCAAGTTACTATTATACCAGATATGGATAATCTTCTACTGAGAGCAATGTTTATCTATAACAGAGTACTGAATGGATAAGCTCATTGTACCCAGTATAGATAATCTTCTACTAGGGGTAATGATTATCCATAATAGAGTATTAAAGGATAAACTCATTATACCCAGTATAGATAATCTTCTGCTAGGGATAATGATTATCCATAACGGAGTATTGAAAGGATAAGTTCATTGTACCCGGTTTGGATAATCTTCTACCAGGGATAATGTTTATCCATAACCGGGTATCGAAAGGATAAGCTTATTATACCTGGTATGGATAATCTTCTACCGGGGGTAATGTTTATCCATAACCGGGTACCGAACTGATAAGCTTCTTCAGGAAGCTTATTTCTAATAGAGTACTAAATAGATAAATATATTTATGGCGGAGTCCCATATGGATAAGTTTTTTCAGGAAGCTTATTTACAACGGAATACCAAATGAACATCCCTAATATAATATATTTATAACAGATATTTAAATATCAACTTTCTTGATCTTGAATACTTTAACTCCTTATCAACGCCTTCTTCAAGAAAGCCCCTATTTTAGCTAATTGAATTTATTTCTACCTTTCCATTAGAAGAGCAATGACAGTAATGAACTTTTAAAAAATTGGTCAAATATGGATAAGAACAATATTATCTATTAAGAAAATTGATAACCAATGAATTTAATTTTTACATTTATAAAACCTCAAATTATGGGTTCCTCAAGTTTGAGTAATTAGAAATTCTCCCAAAAGTGATCATATCCATTCAATCAACAAGTGACAAGGCGATCAACAAGTGTTAAGACTTTGGACAAGTAGCCAAATCCATTCACGCAAAAGTGCCTTTAAATAGGCTCAAACACTTGAAGAAAGATCAATCACAAAGAAGTCTTCACTCTTTCCTCCTTCCAACATTTCCTACTTTCTTCTCCTTCTTTTATATTATCTAGTTGTCATTTTTCTTCTTTTATTCTATCTAGTTAGGTTTGTGATTTAATATTTTGTTGATTCATGTATCCTCTTAAATAGAGGTAGGCTTATTTAATTATGGGAAGACATTTTACAATGTTGAAATAGTTTCTTAGAACAATGCTCACAGCTAATACGACTCAAGCCAACCCGTGTATTTATTTATAATAATATATTACAGTATTGCTGTCTTCCAGTGACATTTTACTACATTTCTATGACAAACCAATGCGGCAAAATTGTGATGGACTTAAGTTCTTTAAGGACATAAATTACTTTATCACAATCGGTCTTTTCATAATTGCAAAATGTATTTTCGTGAACAAAACTCTCTCAAATATGTGGAATATTACAAAATTACATCTAGTCGAAAAAAAAAATCAAAAGTTGTTTTATTGTCAAAAGAAGACCTAATATACGTTTCAATATACCGTCTGTTCAATCAATTTTAGATGAACTTGTCTCTTACGAAAGTAAAGATAATAAAGTTGATGAATTGTCAATGTAAATAATGCAAGTGAATGATATGCCTAGATGTACAATAATAATAGAAGGCACATATTGGGATTGGACATCTCATTAGGCTAAAGCGTAGAATAAAAATTCTCAACCACAAATAATGTTTGAAGAGGGAGACTATATAACGTCCTGGAAAAAGAGAAAGTAACAAAGAAGTCTCCTCCGTGGAAAAAGCAATAGTTTCCAAAAAAAATACAAACAGCCGCAGGAAGAAGAAGAATGAAAAAGACGACAAGTTTTAGGACCCCATGCCAAACTGATACCTACTATATTCGGCAGCAGAAATAAAAAAGAACACACCAACTTAGCCCAAATTAACATATTTCACGTCTAGTAGCATGTCACATTCTTATGTTTTCATTTTCTTTAGTTCTAGCCAACTCTTTAATGTCATCAATGAGACAGTCGAGGTTATTGTACGACGAACCTCCTTCTTCAACACTTAGTTTTGCCAACTTTGATAATTCCTCAATTGATTTCTTTAACTCGTCTCTTTTTATTTCCATCAGATCCTTTATCATTCTCTCTATAGTTGATCTGTCACATATGCCCTTCATGTCCAACCCAATTTGCCATAATTCATTTACTAATCTACTGTTGACTCTCTGATCAACATAATGTGGCCAGCATATCATGGGCTTTCCTTCACTGACACTCTCCAATGTTGAGTTCCAGCCGCTATGTGTTAAAAAACCAGCAATGGCTGGGTGGGCGAGTACCATCTTTTGTGGAGCCCAACTCACTATGTAGCCATTTCCCTTGCAACCTTCTGCAAGTTCCTTCATAAATTGGACGTCTGATTCGCCTCCCTTCAAAATGTTGGGCCTCATAACCCACAAAAATTTAACTTTACTATTCAGTAGGCCATGTTGAAATTCCAAAATTTCCTCCTTTGATACAACGACAACACTTCCAAAACTCACATAAAGTACTGATCCCATGGGCTGCGCATCAAGCCATTTAATAGAACTATGATCTTCTTCCCACAAACTATTTGATGATGGAGCGTTTTTTGAAGAAAGTTTAGCCTTTAAGTGCAAGTGTAATGGCCCAATTGCATATGTTTTAGGAGAGTAAGAGTGAATACAAGAAAGAAAAGGCCTGTCTAAATCTTCAAATGTATTCAATATGAGACCATGGGATTGTGGGATCCGCTCAACTTGCTTCAAAGCGGCTAGGAAATCTGGATCAGTCTTATAATCCATGAGACAAAAGGGTGGAAGATCTCGTCGGCGAAGAAGACCTTCCAAGGCAGGTATATGTGTTACCGATGCATCCAAGTCATTGTCTAGAAAGAAAATACTACAAAGTTAGCTCTGCATTCCAAATTTGGATGATTTGTTTAATAATATACCCTTCAATATGTCATTTCAAGTGGGGAATCTTACAAATTATGAAAGAAAGAAAAATGTCATTTCAAGTCAAATGACCTTTCTCTTAAGGAAAAGACCTTTCTTACAAATTATGAAAGAAAGAAAAATGTCATTTCAACTTGCCACTCAACTTTCAAAAAAGGTCTGTCATCCGTTAAAAAAATACTTATTTCATGCCACTGTCGTTACACATTTGGCTCATCCATGCAATTATTGATTAACGGCAATGGCATGGATGAGCCAAAAAAAAATTGAGCCGTTAGTCAATAATGGCATAGGTGAGCCATATGTTTAACGGCAGTGGCATGGAATGAGCATTTTTTTAACGGATAGCATAGATAGACCTTTTCTAAAAGTTGAGTGGTATTTTTAGACGTTCTTTTAATTGCTGTTCCGGCCGCGAAAGAGGGAACTAATTGCCAATAGCAGATTAAAGTCTAAAGTGTTGCTAGTCACTTTCTTCTCTCACCCTTTATTAGTGGTATTCTTTTCCATAATTTGTTGATTCTTCTCTCACCCTTTACCATGCATAGCATGAATATTGATCCTAAAATATATTCTTTAGAACACAAACTTAATGCATGCTACATAGCAAATGCAAGTAAAGAGCTAGAAAAAACGCAGTGTCTTTTTGACAAATTAAGAAGCAGATGGTACGGTAATCGTCTCTTGGAGAAAATGAAAAATTATATGGATTGGTTCAGTGAACGAGGGATCTTTTTAACGAGGATTGTAAGAAGTGTTTATAGATTATGTATTAGTAGTACTGAATTTCCTGTGTGGAAGAGTTTTTAGTGGTAATTGTACCTTTGAATATGAAATCTATCCTTTTATTAGTACTATATATATAATTTTCATATCGAGAGCTTGAACTAAAGTCCAATATTCTTATAATGTATACATAAATTTTATACAAGTTAGAATAATATATACACTTTTATACATCATATAATAATCTATACATGTTGGATAGATAAAAGTGCTCGGGATACAAAAACATATTCTAAATAGATTGTCATTATACAAAAAATATATTAAATAAACTGTCACTATACAAAAATGTACTAAATAAACTGGCACCATACAATTTATATAAAATAGACTGTCACTATACAAAATATATACTAAATAGACTCTCATTATATAAAATAAACTGTTACTATACAAAAAATATACAAAATAGACATTTCGGACTATTAAATGTAATATGTTTCGGGCCAGAGGAATATTTCGGGCCAATGGAGTAAAACATAGGCTATTAGAATTTTAAAGGGCTACATAAGATTATTTTCTCTTCATTAAATGAGTTTCCCCGACAGTTATTTGCATTTAGGTCCTCAATATATTTTCTTAGTCTCGATCTACTTTTATGTTTTTATATATTAGTCAGTTATGAAAGGACTTTTTTTTTACCTAAATGAACTAAAGATTAACCGGAACATCTCGCATAGAATAATACCTTAATCTAGCAAAATGCAAGACACTTCCACCTTTCGTGATTCGTATCCATTTTAATCAATTTATGTAATATATAAATAGTAGTACTATATACTAACGTATTTTATTTTTCTCCGTCGGAAATATAATACACTGTTCAATTTAATTAATGAGATTCAAACTATGACTAACATGATGAATGTATTTTTTCGCACTTTGATGTGAGAAAAGTTGCAGCTTATAATAATTTTCTTGTAGTTTGAATACTCTAAATTTTAATTAAAAATAAAAACTAATCAAATAAAAGCTAACTTCGAAGTTTAACTGATAGACTCAATCCAACAAATAGGGAGAGAGACACGAATATATGTTTCTAACAAAATAAAAGTAATTCAGGTTATAACTAATTATCAAATAAATAATGACTCATAGGCTTCTCTCCCTACATTGGGACGCCCTTACTAGTAACGGTGTTGTAATCTTATTGAACTTGAATTTAGCAAACAAAAGCAAAGAAAGAAAAATGAGTGAGGGAGAGAAAGAGAGAGTACCTTTGAAGGGAAGCTCGCCAGATTCGATGAGTTTTGGCAGACACATGTAAACCCAAACACAGGACGGGCTAAGGGTGTCAAAGGGAATAACTGGAACTCCCATTTCATTTCCAATATCAGCCACATAATAAGACAGGGCATCTGGTACAACACATGTTACCAGTTCTTTGGCTCCACTTCTAAGCATTTCTCTAAGAAAAGGCTCCGCCACGGTCTGCACGGAGCTGATAATGTCCCCGAATTGTTCGAACGAGCGCGGGTGTTCGTCGGGAAGGCCGTCAGGTATTGTGAGGAATCGAAAACCGGGATATTTCTCGAAACGAGATTGGACATTGGTGTGGCGGAGGAGGCGTTCTTGGTTGTGGATGGTGTTGAGGAAGGTGACCTTCAGACCTGAAAGACAGAAGAGCTCGGCCAGCTGCAGCTTACAATTAATTGGACCTTGTATTGGAAGAGGGAAGATGAGAACATGAGGAATCGTTGCTTCTTTGTGCTGGTGCTCCATTACGTGAGGTTAGTTTGTTTGATTGGATAGGTGAAATTAGGCTTTGGCGTCTCATATTTTATAGATGGAGTTGGTGTAGCGTTTTCTTGAGTCGAGACTGTATTAAAAATAACTTTTGTATCTTGTCTTTAATTAATTATTTGGAGGGCTGATGCCTTGATTCTTTGGAGTATACTATATTAATATCCTTTGGCACATGTAAAGAGTGTCATAGATATATTTGTTAAGCGAATTAATTTCAAGTGGAGATGAAAAAATTTCAGTTTTCAACATGCCTCGTTAGTCATTCCAGCGGCATGTTCACACAGATACAAATATTCATCTTTATTGACGTCTATATTATTATAAAAGTACGAATGTTACATGTTAAATATGAACGACTAAAATATTCTTAAAATATTGATTGACTTTTATGCCCTTAATATTTGTATAAGTTAAGGATCTAATTTTTTTTGATTGAAAAGATATTGTTATATTATAGATAATCAAACACGTACAGGAAAACAGTTAAGAAGATGCATAAGATGCATCATAGTTATTAAGCTAGAGTTTGCTACCAAGGCCTCACGTATGGGAACCATTACTAATAAGATAGATAGAACTAGATACAAAACTACTATTAATACTAGATAAAACACTACTATTACACAAAGTAGTTGTAGCAGAGAGCGATTGTGTTGAAGTACTGGAGTTAGTTGTAATTAGCTTTCTTTGTAATGTACCGTTATGATCTTGTTGATAAGAAGGCGTTGCAAAAGATGGTGGGCTTCCAAAAAGTATGCAGCTCTCTTGTGCATGCATGGCTCCATATTTGGCTAAACTATCTGCAACACAATTTTACTTTCTGTAGATATATTGTAGAGGAGGGCTATCCAGCTGTAGGAGTAATAACCTGCAATCGTTAATAAGATTAGGGTAGTGCATTGTAGTTGAGTTGAACATACCGATAATTTCATATGCATTTGTCTCAATGATGATGGGTTTGAGATGGTGTTGCAAAGCATTTTTCAGCCCCATGAGGAGTGCATGAAGTTCTGTCTAAACATTTGTGCCTTGTTTGGATTTTCTTGCATATCCCATGATCCAGTTGCTTAGGTGGTTTCGAAAAATTCCACCAATACCATATTTTTGTTGGTTAAATAAGCAAGGCCCATCAATATTATTTAGTTTATAAGTATTAGGGTTTGGGGGATGCCATTTTATGTATAGAGGTATTACAGAATGATGTTTTAATTTTGGACTTGTGAGAAAATAATATTCCGCATCCATATTTAAAATATGTGGAATATTTAAAGTAATTCTTTGATGTTCAAATGTGTTCTTGTTTCTTATAATTTAAAACTGTCATAGTGCAAAAGGTATGAGTGTTGTGGATGGAATTTTATGAGAGGTTGATAGTAATGGTGTATATATAAATTGGTGTAACCACTGTATATTATCATTCTGGGATGTGGGAGAATTGGGAGTTGGAAATGATGCTTTAAGGGCAACCCAAAGCTGAGTTGCATTAGGGCATTCTAGAAAGAGATGGATTAATTATTTCTGGAGCCATATGACACTGTGGATCTATAGATGAATTGAGAATACATAATCTTGCAAGATACACAATAGTTGGGAGTCTGTTGTGACAAATTAACCAGAGGAAAAGGGATATTTTTGGTGGTATAGGAAGTTTTTAAATCCACTTATAGGAGTATTGTGAATTTGTGGTATTCGTTAAAGAGTTGTAGGTAGATTTTACAGAGAATATCCCATTTGATGTAAGTGCACAATATATTTGATCATTTGTTATGGGTGAAATATGCATATAAATATCTTTGATAGTGGGTTTTAAATGATTTGGTAGTGTGAATGGTAATGTGTCAAAATGCCATTTGTGATTGTAATAGTAGTTAGAAACAATTTTTTTTTCCTCATGACGGGGGAGAGGTCCATTTAGGCAATTGCGAATTATGTAATTTGGTTTGATCCAAGGATCCAACCAAAATTTGACATGTTGACCCGTAGTAAATAGTAATGAGATAATGATGGAATTCTTTTTCGATTTAAACTATATATACGATAACCCTACAAAGTTGATTCTACTTGGATTAGAAATGCCCGTCCATAATTTCCACTTTCTTTCCTTATTTACGTAAGATGCCTAGCATATAATGAAATTGCATACATGGAGATTTAACCTTTTTTTTAGTATTTCGTGATTTATTTTATTTTCTTGTATGATTTTGTTGTGATCGGACAAAAAATAAGCCATTATGTGCTGAATTAGGAAGGAAAAAACCTAAAAAAAAATTAAATATTTGACTAAATCAACCATAATTAAATTATTCATCTTCTAAGCCTAAAAGCCTACGTATAACCAAAATATTTAGAATTCAACGGTCTTTTCATGCATTAAAATTTTATTATACATGTAATTGATGGAGTTTTATACCTTTAAAAAATTAAATTACCCCCTCAAATAAGTAATAGATGAGTTTTTTCATGTACAAGAGACTTACTATTTTTATAAGTCTTTCCGCGATTTATAATAAAAATAACTAAAGAGACATACTCTTATCTTTATAAGTCTTTCTAAAACCAACCGTATTCGGTCGAAAATAAAGATAGAATAAATACAAGCACGTGTAACTATACCAAGTAAGGGAGCAACCATATACTTTCTGACATCAATTTGATGAATGAAAGCAAATTGAAATTTATGCAGTTAGATTTCTACTACTTTAATTTTTATGTCATAGTTCAACAAAATATGTTCTAAATATTAATGCGGTTAAAAATATTACTATTTATTACACAAAGTTTTCACTAAATGACAATAATTCTATAGATAACGTGGCAACGCATGTCTATAGAGACTAGTATCTATCTATATTATTATTAAAGCACAAATAATTCATGCCAAATGTGGAACGATAAAAATATCCCTGAAATATTGATCGACTTTTATAACCTTAAATATCTGTATAATATAAGGATAAAATTGTAAATCACGTAAAGCTAAAACACTTTTACGATTTAAACTACAATATACAAAGTTGATTTTGAGTCAAATTCTTTTGGGACATCTCTTTAACGTAGCGTACCAAGTCTACAAAGTTGATTTTCTAATACTGAAGTAAAACTATGTTGATGACAGTGTAAAATTCAATACCTTTGCCTAATATTAGAGTCCAAATTCAACTAAATTTTGCATATATTTTACCTTTATTTAATAAACTTTGTCCTTTCCTTATTTCATTGAATTGCAACATATATATTCCCGGGACCAGAAAATGTATTATTCTCATTTGTCTAACCTATATAATAATAATAATAATAATAATTATTATTATTACTATTACTGATACTACTACTACTGTTGCTGGTACTACTACTACTTCTTTGAGAATTGCTTCTTGTACTTTGTACATATTCCTCAATAATAGTCACTTTATAAAACTGGATGTTACGTGTTTCTCAATTTGTAACGCAAGACATATTCGTGCAAAGCACGAAAATAAAGACTAGTTATTATAAAAGCATGAATACAATGTCAAATAATCAAAATAGCATTAAAAATAAATTATACACAGGACAAAATAATCATTTAATTATTTTTCTAATACTTAAGGCTTTAAATAATTACTTTGTACATATTCCTCAATTTATTACATACATGATTTTTTATTACATACGTGATTGTATGAATCTATATGATGTTCAAAGAGGAGCTTATGGTGTTGGAAAGGGCAAAAACTCTGCCATTGGGTGTAACGACCCGAACTGTCGTTTCCTGTATTTTCGTCATGTATTCCCCGTTAAATACTTATTCATGTTTCAAAATGTGTACTTGGTGAATTTGAGTCAATTCAGATCGAGTTTGGTATGAAATGGGACAATTAGTCTCTTTAAGGAAGAATTAGTTTGGAAAAGTCAACCGGATGTTGACTTGTGAGTTAGAGGGCTCAGAATTGAATTCCGATGATTCGGTTAGTTTCGAGGGATGATTTAAGGCCTAGGAGCGCAATCGGAATTAATTTTGGAGGTCCGGTAAAGAAATTAGCTCATTTTGGCGAAGTTAGTATTTTGGCGATTTCCGGTTGATAGGTGAAATTTTGATCCGACGGTCGGAATGGAATTCCAAGAATTTCTATAGCTTCGTTATG